AAAAAAAAAAAAAAAAAAAAAAAAAAAAAAAAAAAAAAAGAAGGTATTCACTGGAGGCTGGCAAGTTAGGTCAGTTGGTTAGAGTGTAGAGCTGATAACACCAAAGTCAAGGGTTCAGATCCCCATACTAGACAGCCACCAAATATATATATATATATATATATATAAGATTTATTCAAAGGAAAGTAATCTTCACTGGGAGATTACTTGTCTCAATGAATACACTTTTTTGTTTTTTTGGTGGCTGGCCATTAAGGACATCCAAACCCTTGACCTTGGTGTTATCAGCACCACACTGTAATCAACTGAACTAATTGGTCTGCCCTATAGACATATATTTAGATAAAGGAATGGAGCATATTATAATTTATAACATGTATCTTACTTATTTTTACAGATGAACTCTCCTTAAAATAATTATAATGACAATCTGGTAACAACTGTGTACAATGAACATTAAGTAATCTAGGAGTCTTTTTGCCATTAATCTCAACTCTCTGGAACACATTCAAGAGTAAGGGAATGAATTTAAAAAAGAACAAAAACGAGTAAGGGAATGGGGGAGAAGTTATTGTGCAAGCACAATACATTCCACCAAGTGCTTGGGCTAGAGTTCAGGCATTTAACTTGTAGGAAGTCTTTTGGGCTTTCACTCAGAGGTCAGAGAGTATTTTTCCTCTTTTTTTCTTTTCTTCCTTTCTTTCTTTTTTTTTTTTTTTTTTGCTCTCATTTTAAATCCAGTATTGACAAGTTTACTTTGTCTGCTTTCCAGAGACACTAAGAATTGCTAGAGGCGTCACTAAGAATTGCTAGAGGCAGATACACTGACAGCAACAAAATGAAGCAAGTGACAGCCTGGTGAAAAAGAAAACTACCACAAGCAGACACAATAACAAGAACTTAGGACATCTAACACAGGAGCAAACAGCCCTGCCTACGTCAGAGGCTTGAAGGTTATCACTGCTGTATTGCCATTTACATAACCAGTTTTCTAATGATGACCCTCATTAACTCATGAACTAGGTATAATACTTTGGTTACTTGTTGATACAATAAAGGTTTACTTTTCAACTCAGATGGAAAAATTCAAACTCAAAAAACAGAACATTTGGAATAATTATCCCAATCACAAGAACATTTTCACTTTATAAAAATAATCACTATAGATTTCCCATTTAATCTCTGAGAGTCACTTAGGCATTTGAATAAAAGGCACTTATTGTATATTACAAATGTAATATGAGCTGCAAAAAACAAAATCAGTTTATATTACACAATTGCACCAAGAAAGACATATGAGTGTATATATTGTCTACAGATCAAGTATATCATTCAAGATCTCTTATGAAAAGTTCTACAATAGAAAGTTTAATCTATGTAGAAATAAAATTCATCCATATAAACTGAATACAGCCATATTGTACTCAAAGATATAGAAATGAGACTCTTAATTTTTGGGGAGGAAATAATTAGTACATTCTAAGATATTGTTTGGTCAGGGGAGCTCTGAACAGTAATTCTAATTTAGTTTACTATTAAAATATTTACTAAAATGTTTAAAATATGGAAACATATATGATTCTGTATTTTAGTCTGGTATTCTACATAGTTCAAATCATGATAATGAGCTTTTCACTATGGATAATATTTTACTATATTTCCTACCATGTTTGGAGAATATTAGGACCATTGTATTTAGATAATTTCTTTATTCTTGCCCAGCATTACCTGGGTCTATGAAGCCATAAGGAAAAAATTATGCTCAGTATTGCAAATGAGGAAATTTGATAGCTAACTTTTGGAACTAAATTTATTTTACTTCGTCTTATCTCAATGAGTATAATAAACCCTTCATAATCACCTCTCGCTGTCAGGCATTTCCTGCTATCAGATCTTTTGTATATATATAAATCAACTCTTAAGGTGTTACTTTCTTTATTACAATGGTGTAAATTTTACAAACTGGAATAGGTTCAAAGTAACCAATCTGCTCAAGCTTACTGGTGGCTTTCAAACTGAGCTGGTTAGCTCAGTTGGTTAGAGGTGGTGCTGATACCACCAACATCCAGGGTTTGATCCCTGTACTGGTCAGCCGCCAGAAAAAAAACCAAAAGAACTTTCATCTTTGGGCAGAACTTTTCAATGTGGTTTTCCCCCTCATTAAGGGAAGAAATAGAGCAGGCAGCATCAATCTAGTGAGCAATCAAAGAGGCTTCCCTTGTCAATTGAGACAGACTATTCAAAGTGAATAATGGGTACATTTCACAAGTGAGTCCATTTCACAACCACTCTGAAATGGACTGTGGGACTTACTTAGATAATTGAGTAGCTACATGGTAGCATCAAGAATATTACTGATTCTAAATTGCTGCCAACTCCCTGTCATTCTCCCTTCTGCATCCTATACCCATCATCTCTGGTATTTTTGAATTAATTTTTTTTCTTTCCTAATATTTCCTCCTTCAGTTCTTTGTGTTCATTATTTCCAGCTATCAGTACCTCTTTGGGAGACTGGGGCAGTACCTCTTTACAACAAAAAGGATGTTAAGTACATTCAGACAAAGTATTTTACAAGAATTTTACAGTCTTTTCTGGAGGAATCCAGTACTACTCTGCATTTACAGAAAGATTCTTTCATGAATGATTGCAATGGTAAGCCATAAGAAAAATTCCCTGTTCGGGGACTCAGTGGCTCATTCAAACCTTAGTCATTTCTAGATCTACTGATTTCTTCTTTTCAGAAGAGCAAGCTTATATTCACCACCACATTGGGATGACTGAAATACCTTCATCCAATTTTGCAAGCCTGTGAGGAATTTCTTTCAGAATTCTATCACACATGCTGAAGAATAGTATTCAACAGGAAATAAGTTGCATAATGATTGTGTTTGATTTAAAAACTATTTTTGACCTTGGTCTAGTTTTTCTTGGTCACTTTTGTCCCTATCATTAGTGGGATCATTTGCAGCAAGTTTCTTCTTAAACATAGTCCTAGGAGACCAGAAGAACTATTTCTCCTGTTCTGCAGAGGTCCAGCAATGGCCAGGGACCCAGGTCAACCACTAGCCTAGGCCTCCTATGATCTGTGTGGATGCAGGCCTCGCAGTGTTCACACAAAGAGTTGAGCAGCTCAGTGAAGGATGTCTTGGTGGGTTCAAGAGTCAGTGAGTTTCTTTTTTTTTTTTTTTTTTGTCTTTTGTCTTTTTCCGTGTCCGGCAACGGATTGCAACCCTCAGTGTTGCCCCCGTACCGGACCGGGGACCGGCAACGGGATTGCAACCCTCGGTGCTGCCCCCGCGCCTCGCTCAGCCAGTGAGCGGGAACCGGTCTGTATGCAGTGCTTCCCAAGCGGTGCACTTATCCAGTGCGCCACCGGGCCGGCCCAGTCAGTGAGTTTCTATAGGGAGCAAACAGTGCCTGGCACATGATAAGTATTTATTGAATAGATGAATTGAATGAATGAGAATGAAGGAATAAATGAATGAACAGTTGATAAGGAAAGTGTGAAAGGAAGTAAAAGCAAGACATGTCAGGGTCTGCCAGAGTGACAGAGCCTGTTAAAATAAGGAAGTCAGAAGGTCTGAAAGAGAACCGAAGACTTGGTAGGGAGAAAAAAAGCAAGTGACCAAAATAATGCTGAATCAAAAAACATTTGTCTTTTTTTTTTTTTTTTTTTAAAAGATGACCGGTAAGGGGATCTTAACCCTTGACCTGGTGTTGTCAGCACCACGCTCACCCAGTGAGTGAACCGGCCATCCCTATATGGGATCCGAACCCGGGGCCTTGGTGTTATCAGCACCGCACTCTCCCGAGTGAGCCACGGGCCGGCCCTCAAAAAACATTTGATTTGATTCAAGTGCTAATGTCTTCTAATAGTCTGGGTCTCTGGGAAGTGTACAGTAAGCTCCATGAGGTCTATTCATTCATGATAATGAAAATAACAATAAACTGAGTTCTTACTATATGCCAGATATTGTGCTAAGTGCTTTACACAAATTTTCTTTTTTAATTCTCACAACTCTAGGAGGTAGCTACTAGTATTACCCTCATATTGCAGTTGAGAACACTGAGGCTTAGGGGAGTTACGTATAACAAGATCACACGGGTAGCAGGTGGTAGAACCAAGACTCCAATTCAAGTCTGTTGAAGTTCAAAGTCCAAGATTGTAATCACTGTGTTATTCTGCCTCCTCTATCTGTTCCCGCTTTTTAGCATAGTACCTGACCTGCAGTAAGCACTGAGTAACATCTATTGAGCAGATGGAGCAATGTGGAATTATGGCACTGTTATGAAATTGAGTCCATTGCTGACAACCTCACTAATTCTTAGATATGTGTGCACAGTGGTACGTTGTTTTAGAAGCTAATAGAGGGGTCATTAAAGACTCAAACTCCATTCTTAATGTTGGCACATTATGACTATTTCTGCAGAGTATTATTTCCCCAAGGTAGGGTGACATCATGTTATTATTATCATCATTTTCAAGCATCAATAACATGTTTTACATAGAGTATATATTTAGATGAGAGTATATACTCAAGAGCTTTTTAAAATCCAATTTGTGTGATCTACATCCTTCTTTTGCATCTCTTTTACATGTTGAATCATCTCTAAATCTAATGTTCCTTTTCATCTATAATTGCTAAGACATTTACATTATGCATTTTATGGACTCTTATCGTTAGAAAGGTCTATTCATCTCCAATCATTTCACTTAGTGAATAAGAAAGGAAAGACTTGAAATAATAATTTCAAAATTACTTTTTTTTTTTTTTGAGTACTTATTATGTGCCATCTCCTGGGCCAAGTGCTTCTTGTCTATTCTTATTTAACAATCCAATGTGGTGGATACTATTACCAGTCCCATTTTACAGAAAAGGAAACTGAGGCAAGGCAATTTGCTCACATGGTTAGTAAATAGTAGAGTCAGAATTTGAATTCAGGTCCATCCAACTCTAAACCTGAGCCTTCAGCCACTACCTTACATGATGTGTTCAATGTCACTTAGCTTTTCAAAGGTGAAGCTGAGATGAGAACTCAAGTCTGTTGCATCCCAGACCAGTCTTTACTTCATTATACCACTTTGTTTTCATTCATGTTTTTAAGTGCAGTACATTTCTGAAATCATTTTGACCAACTGGGAATGATGATTTGCAAAATTTGCCTTCTTCAATGTTACTCCTGATTTTATATTGCTTCTTTCAGAGAAGAATGGCTCCCAAAGTATGCATGGAGGAATATAGGCTCTCCAGACTCAAATTAAAGAGAGAGAGAATATTGTTTTTCTGAGATGAACTGTGACACATCCCTGGAGTAATAAGCAACACTTACATAGATAATGGAGAGAACTCCATTGTAACTTTCAGTTGAAATGTTGAGGACAATGCTTAACTGTGAGACCAGCACTTGGAAGGCAGCAGCTGTTGTGAATCCACCAACCAAAGGAACTGCCAAGTACCTCACTATGAATCCAATCCGCAAACATCCAAATATCAACTAGGATAAGAAGAAGGAAGGAAAAATTAAATGCTTGCCTGAGAGAAGAACCAGCTCTCTGGAAATATTTTAAGCTTAACACCAATTAAAATACCAGTAGCTTGTTTATAACACAAAATACTTTTAGGAAACAAATCTGGATTTCTTAATCCCCTATCTCTCCCCTCCTCTCCACCACTCTAAAATTCAAAAACAATGTGTAATGTAAATCTTGAAGTATTTCTATATATACACTAAGAAAAGCAAAAATCATGTATCTTATTTCTGTGACTTTCAGGTCCCATGGCTCTGCTCACCAGAACACTATGAGTTCCCACACACTTCCCTTATCTCATCCTCAACTGAATCACACACGTTCTGCCTTTTTTTCCCCCTTGTCCCTGAGTTTGATGATAAGTGAGCCTTAAATAAGTGGGGTCTTGCTGACCGTTTTAACATCTAACCTAAAACAATGTAATTTAGAAAATAACTTTGGGGTCCAGGAAATCACATTGTTTTGCTTTTAGGTGAATCTTTAAGTCCACATAAAATCACACTAAACTATATTTCACTTGTAAATTCCTTACCTGTAGAATTCCAACCAAAAGAGTCAGGGCGCTTGCGATCAGTACTCTTGCTGCATCTCTGGCCTCAGAGTCTACCACAGTAGTGTTTAGTGCAGTTTCATTACTGCTGGATGTCATGAAGTTTTCGTCAGGGGCCATGCTCAGAACAACAGATCCCACCATTAAACTGACCACTGGAAAAGGTCCTGAGGGAAAAAGTCTTTACCAATTAATCAATTACATATCATAAATGTTTAAAGTCAATGTGTCTACATAGGATTAGAAGGATGTGTGAACTAATTAGCTGTGACTATGAAAATATTGTTTGTTCATAAAAGAAGCTAAAAAGTGATGTCTTGAGGCATTCTTGACCCAAAATGGGCAAGAGAGACATGTAGGTAAGTGATTATAATACAGCAATCAGGATGCTTCGTGAGTACACAGAAAGGGCATCTAAACTATCCATGTGTGATCCTCATGTGTATGGGGGTTGAGAGTGGGGATGAGAGTTGCAGGAAAGGTTTCCTGGCAGAGGTAGCATATAAATTGAGTCCTTCCTTGTTCCACTTAATTTTTATTCCATATAATCTTATTCATTTCCTAGAGTGTCTAGTGTCCTGATCTCTGTGCATCTGAGTACCTTGATCAATATCACATGGTACAAATTAGGATAAAGAAACAGCAAAGGGAGTATATAGTTTCTTTTTCTTTTTGCAAGACAAATTAATTTTTATATCAAATGCCAGTCTATAAGATTCTATGTTTTTTCAAAAAGTACTATTTCTTTCCTGCAACTGCTCTATTCCACAACTATTTTACTCATGATGACAATGATGATGATCCTATCTTTTGACCATGGAAGGTTTTAGGATTGGGAGGACTCAGAACCCAAGCCCAGTAACCTGGAGTGTCTAAAAGTATAGCATATAAAGACAAAAATCAGCTTTTGTGTTCCTCACCAAGTCAAGCATTTCATACTGATCAATATTCCAAGATGAGGAAGTTCTTTCAGCCAATAACCTCTTCCTGATCTCCTTCTTCAGACAAAGCAATAAGCTAGATACTGGGAGAGATACAACTAAAAACAAGGACATGAGTTGGGGATAGAGTAGATGGTTGTATTTATTTCGAGAGATAGATATGTCTAGCCAGCAGATGGATGTAGGAGCAAAATTATCTCTAGTATAAATGTCAAAATCGCAAAATAGCATTAAAACATTCATTTGCTAGAACATTCAAGCAAAAAAAATTCAAATTTTAGGAATGGCAGGAAGACCTATTATGAGCCATACAAAGAAGGAAAGCCAGGCTTAACTTCTAAATTGTTTTGGCAAGATCTTGCCAGTCTTCCAATATTAGTAACTAAAAAAATAAGTATGGTCTTTAATGTAATAATGGATATGTATTGATGAAAATAATTTAGTGCATGCTAAATTAAGCTAGTAAAATAGGTTCAAAGACTTAATGAGATTTTTTTTGCCTGTCATTTTATATTTTGGAAGAGAACACTTTCTAAATACAGAGTCAAATTTATTACATTTTTTAAAATGAAAATATGCTAAAATTTGAAGATAGGCTATAATTTTCAGTCTTTCAATTTTTTCCTCTTCATTAAAAAAAAAGTTATGGGGCCTGCCCGTGGCTCACTCGGGAGAGTGTGGTGCTGATAGTACCAGGGCCACAGGTTCGGATCCCATATAGGGATGGCTGGTTAGCTCAGTGGGTGAGCGTGGTGCTGACAACACCAAGTCAAGGGTTAAGATCTCCTTACTGGTCATCTCTTAAAAAAAAAAAAAGTTATGGGGCCTGCCCGTGGCTCACTCGGGAGAGTGTGGTGCTGATAGTACCAGGGCCACAGGTTCGGATCCCATATAGGGATGGCTGGTTAGCTCAGTGGGTGAGCGTGGTGCTGACAACACCAAGTCAAGGGTTAAGATCTCCTTACTGGTCATCTCTTAAAAAAAAAAAAAGTTATGTATAAAGCTAACTAACATCATTGAGAGGGAAAAGTAGTCAAAGCACTGAAGTCCTATTTCTCTGAAAAATATTAACAAAGATATGGAAGCATGATGCACATAATATAGCTGAAACACTTTAAACATAAAAAAAATGCAATTGTAAAATATGCTTATAATTACCAACTGAGATATGCCTTGATGTTCCAAAGATAAAGTACGTCAAGATAGGGAAAAAAGCAGAGTAGAGGCCATATCCAACAGGAACTGCAGCTAGTAGGGCATACGCCATTCCTGTAAATTTGCAAAACAAAAGTTATGGTGTATTTCTACTGCACAAAGAAAGGCCTTTTCATAAATATCCTCAATTTACAGCTTCCTTGTGGTCTCCCTGTTTTGCATACAGACTGTTGCTATGCTAGGATGCAGAACATGATCTGAATCAACTGGGATAATGATTGCATCCACAAACATCACGTGCTCAACTGAATTGACTCAATTGATTAGTTATTTAGTTATCCACTAATCAGATCAGTGGGAAAAAACAGTCAAATCAGTTGTTGATTAACAACTTTCTCAGTTCAGTCCTAAGGCTCAGACCAGTTTTGCACATAGACAGAAGTGAATTCAGGGTTCCTCTGTGTTCTGAGGAACATGGTCATTGTTGCATGCTGTTTCTCCTTTCTTGTTGGGGAAGATAAGTTTGACTCAACAAAAGAAAAAATATGACAATTGTACACAGCACAGGCAAGACATCTCTCTATGCTGGTGAAGAAGACCAACTCTTCCATTGGGCTATGCCAGCAGCCTCTGGGCCTATAAATGTCAGGCCTTGGAGAAATTGACATGGAGAGATGTGAAGTAGAAGGGGAAAAGGTGAGAAAAATCAGGATTCAAAACTAAGTATGCATGCTCCTACTTTTGTAAAAGTAAACATGTGTATTATATGCTTTAAAAATCTGGAAAGATTTTAAATATGAATTCAGATATACAAAATGACAATGAATAATATAATAAACACCCATGTACCCACCAGCCAGCTTAAGAATTAAATTATTGCCAGTACAGTTGAAACTCTTAATGTACTCTTCCTCAATCACATCTTTCCTCCCTCCATCCTCAGAAGGCAACCACTATCCTGAATTTGGTGATTATTCCCAGGCATTTTGTTTTACTTTTATATAGATATGCATTTATGTGCATAGCAGGATATATACTAAAATATTAATGGGTTATCTGTCTAGTAGGATCAGAGACTTCTAGTTTGTGGAGGAGGTATTTTTTCATGTTCCTTATATGTATTTTCTAGTTTTCTACAATGAGCATTCATTCATTCATTCATTCAACAATTCATTATGCACCTATTATGTGTCAGGCACTTAAAACAAAGTCTCTGTCCTTGTAGGGTTTGCATTCTAGACAAATATGTATTATTGGTGCAATTGTTTTACTATATAAATTACAACAAGGAATTACAATAATTAGTAGTCCCAAGAATGTGGAATAGAATAGAAAGGTGACTCCACAAAGGGAAGAAAAGAGGAGGAGGGAATAAAAGCTCAACCTGTCTGTTTCCTATAGACATTTTTCAAGTGTTACTCAAACTTTCATTTCCCTAAACTGGGCTCTGTGGTTCTTAATATGCCTGGAAAATGGGGACTTTCCCACTTTTCGTATAGGGTATCCTATTTAGGGACAGCTGCTACTCAGATATCCTGTAATCATCTTTATTATATAAAGGAAATTGGTACAACAAATTTGAAATTATAAAATTTGTAGAGAAATCTAAGCCATTGATTTAAATTATAGAATCTCTGTGTTGGTACCCACAAAGTGGTGTCATATACTGATAAAGCAGGGGCTAATAAACATTTGAAAACATCTAAAAGGTAAAGGCAGGTCAGAATGCAGTGGTGTTTACAACTAATGATCTCAACCTGTTACCGATTTCTTTGTTCCTTCTCTATTCCCACTGCGTCACTTGACTCACCTTAAAAATAAATAAATAAATAAATAAATTTTAAAATAATGATAAAAGGCGAAGCCTTTTACCATGTAAAAACACAGCGAGAAGATGGGCCCTCACCAGAAACTGAATCTGCAGGCACCTTCATATTAAACATCCTAGCCTCCAGAACTGTGAAATTTCTGTTGTTTATAATAAAGGAAAAAAGAAAGAACAGTCAAAAGTAGAAAGTATGCTGGCCAGTTAGCTCAGTTGGTTAGAGCGTGGTGTTGTTAACAGCAAGGTCAAGAGTTTGGATCCCCAAACCATCCAGCTGCCCTAAAAAAAAAAGTAGAAAGTGGACAGCAGATTCTCTACAGCTGTAAGTAAAGATAGCCCTAAAAGGGCTGCATCAATCTTTTCCTGCCTGATAGGAATTAAAAAAAATTTTTTTTAATTTGTTTATTTTTATTAGCATATTTTTTTTTTTACAAATCATGATTTTTCTTTATGCCCTTTACCCGACCTATTGCTCCCCAAGCCCCCTCCCCCCCTCCCCCCATCTCTAGTAACCTTAGTTTTGTTCTCTCCTTATGAACTCATGCGAATTTTCTTTAATAATAAAAATCAAAAAGACCCCATTATCCTTAGCAACTCCCTGGTTTCTCAGTAACTTGAGCCTGCCATCTCATGAATTTTTCCACCACTCCTCAGCCGCCCAGCCAGTGGTTATATCAGGGACCTTGTCATCACTGGAAACTGCACCACCCCTCTGAAATCCCCATTTTGAGCCTCCCTCTCTCCAGCTACAGCTTCTGAACCTTCCAGCTCGCCTACTCCAGAATCCTTTTAGCAACATGTTTTTTAACTCATGAGGCTTCTAATCCATTAGCTGATCCACTTTCTCCTGTCCTTGATACCCTCTTGTCTTCACTTCCATCTTTGCCAAGCACAGATTCCACGCAATTTCACAAATACTCTTATCTCCCTTGTTCACTCCTTCCCTTTCTTGTCTGGCAAAACCGCAATCTGGCCGAACCCAAACACCCACCTTTGTTTTTTTTTTTTTAATCACAGCCTTTGAGCAGCTAGATAAACTGGACTGGACCCATCTATATGAAAACTAACCAGTTTCATGTAAAATTTGTGATTACAAGTCCCAGACGGGCACTCAACACTGCCTGGCAATCCAATTACATTTCCTCAAGAAGTATGCTTTTTCCTCTCTCTGAGACAACAACCTCCCCTACTTTCCTTGAACTGCCCATCCCACTTCTCCACCAGACTTGAGGCTGACACCTTTCATACTTCATCGAAAACATGGAATTCATAAGAGATGCTCCCAAGTTGCTTTTTCATCAAAGTTTCAAACCCTTCCGCATCTGCACCATTTGGACTATCTCTCTATGAAAACAGATGAAATAGCCCTCCTGTTTTTAAGGAGTAATCTTCCCACTTCTGTTCTCAACCCCCCCACACTTGCCCTTCTCACTAGTTTGGTTCTAGTTGTTTCTCCTCTACCTCTTGGGCCACAGATCACTTCCTTTCTATAAGGTCACTCCAATCAGTTCACAAATATGTTCTAGTATCTCCTATATTAAAAGAAAATCAAACCCTTCCTTCCCTCCACCTTCATACCTTATCTCCTTCCCACTCACAGCCACACCTCCTAAAAGCAGTGTGGATTCCTTTATCATGCCCTACCCCTCAGGAGTGGACCACACTCTTGGCCCCGCCATCTTTTTTTTTTTTTTTTTCCTTCAGCAGTGGGAGGGTGTTCCTGGCAAAAACTGGAAACCTGCTAGTAAAAAAGCTGTCCACTCCCTTTTATTTATTATTTTTTTTAAAAACAAAACCTCTTCTCTTGGCTTCCGGTCCCACATTCCTCCAATTATTCTTTTCTCCAACTTCCTGGGCCCAACTTTCTCAAGCTCTTCATTGCTCTCCCTCCTCATCTTCTGACCTCTAAGTACTCCAGCCGTCTTCTATTCCCCATCTGCCCTTTCTTTCTAGGTAATCACAGGCATTCCCACTCCTTTAAATATCACCTCCAAGATGAGGTTTCCCTGACTTTATGTCTAGCCCAGACCTCTCCTGTGACCTTCCTACTTGTGTTAGCTCCAACTATTCTCTATTTGGCATCTTCACTTACATGTTTCTCATGCCTCTCAAACTTAGCATGTACAAAAGTCAATTTTTGATTTTCCATCCCAAATCTGCTCCTCAGCCAGTCTTTGCCATTTTAATAAATGACATAGCTATTTACCCAGCTGCTTAAGCCAACAACCTTGGAGCCATCCATGATTTTCCTCCATACTCATCAGTATACAGGGTGAGCATCCCTAATCTGAAAATGTAAAATTTGAAACGCTCCAAAATCCAAAACTTTTTGAGCACCGACATGACCCATATGTGGAAAATTTCATACCTAACCTCCTGTGATGGGTTGCACTCAAAATACAGGTACACAAAAAACCTGAAATCCAAAATACTTCTGGTCCCAAGCATTTCTGATGAGAGATTCTCAAGCTGTATATTATTGATTGTTGCTGCAAAATATATTTCGAACAAGGATTGTTAGTTTCACTTTTTTTTTTTTTTTTTAACAGGAATTGAATCTTGGACCTTGGTGCTATCAGCACCACGATCTAAACAACTGAGCTAACCCATATTTCAGATGTGCAGTGCTCTCCATATCCTGTCCAATCTGGTTCAAGCTGGCATACCTGCCCTCAATCCAGTTCAGAGCAATATTCCCACAGGGCTGGGGATAGGGTGGGGCAAGTGAGGTGCCTCGGGCGCAGTATTTGAAGAACCAGCCACAGAGTGAGTACCTCCCTTGCCTCATCCTAACGTCAGTCCTGCCCAACCTTATCTCGCTGTTACCCCGCCCTCCCCCAAAGCACTCACCCACACTAGAATTCTTCCTGTTTCTTGAAAATACTAAACTCTTTTTGGCCTCAGACTTTGCGCTTTTACCTGTGTACTCTTTCTACTCGTCACATGACTGTCTCCCTCACATCCTCTGGTCTCTGACAAAATTGCACCTCCTCAGTAAGGCCTTCCTTTACCATTGTTTCTAAAATAGACCTCCCTTCCCAAATTAATTCCTATTATGGCATACTTAATCCAACTCAATGGATATCACAATCTATAATTATTTTTCTGTTTATCTACTTGATTATTTAATTCCCACTTCTACTACTGGAGAAATTCTGTATGCCAGGTATTCAGCCATGAGGATACAGTGGTTTACTAACAGGCACAGGTACTGACCTCCATCTCACATTCATCCTTATGGTTGAATATCTGGCATAGAGAATTAGTATATAGATACTGACACAGGATTGTTGTGAGGATTACTTGAAATAACTGGCCAAAGTCCTGACCATAGTATCTGATAACTTATTAAGCAAAATTAATTATTATAAGATACTTATCTATGAAAACTGGGGAGATGTGGAGCTTGAAATACCATTTTTCATATATAAAGATGATTCATTATTAGGAATGCAGTTTATCCTCTTTACTAAATATTTATGAACCCATCTTCAAGGTCACTTCCAAAAGGTCATGGAAAGATTTGTAATACTTCTAATTCTATTTTTCCACAAACTTTTAAAAAGTACCCTCATATTACATGCTTAGTCTTTGTGCTAAGCACCTGCTAAACAAACATGAATTAGACATGGTTCCTTTCCCCCAGGAGTCACAGCCATGTCACAGCCATTGGAGCCTGTGATGTAGAGCACTTGGCAGTGTTTAAACTTTGAACTGCACAGCCCCATCCTGCTCTTACTCCCGTCTGCCTTTGTGGTTGAGAACATGCCTCATCGGGCTGAGACTCCACATAGGAGCCACAGAACATCCTCCTCTATCGGAATCTACCTGGCCAACTCTGACTAATCCTGAGAGCTTCACAACCAAATTTTAGCTCACAATATTGCTCAACATGTATTACTAACTTCTGAAATAGTCTGTTTTCATGTCATCTTTCTACACACATCCCCATCACTTCCCATTACTTGGCAAACTCAGTCTTAACCGGCAGGGAAACTCAGCTTCAACAGCTCAACTTCCAGGAAGCCATTCCCAATCCCCTAAGACATTAAGCACAGCTCATCTACACTCCCTTCACAGGAAATGTTACCCCTTATCACACTGAATTGTTATCATTTAGTTATCATCCAGTGAACTATGAACTCCTTGAAAACAGGTGGTGCATTTTATTTGTGTCAGCATATCTAGTGCCTGGAACATGCTAGATGTTCCAAAAAATTATAATAAACAAAATTTCTGCTTTCATGGTTTGGGGGCTTTTGGGAATTGGGAAGGACAGTTAGGGTGGGGAGGGTGGGGAGAGGGGGCGAGGGAGAATGCCCATACTGCTATGCACCAACTATGCAACAGATTTCTAAGATGCTCATGGAAATATTATGGTATTAAGCCAGTTTCAAAAAATAGAATAACTACCTATGTTGGGACATTTCCCCAGATTAAAATAGGAGGATGGATAAAAAGGGGGAGAACAGAAAAACTCAGGTGTAGTCCAGGCTAAAATACTTCCCTCAGTTTCCTTAAAGCCAGTTTACATCCCATGTGTGGGATGTAAAATTATTTAATGGGCTTCAATCATCATTTTTTAAAAATAAGCAGAATAGAATAGAACAGAATAGAAAATATCAGAGTGTATCATTGTAGTGAGGATATTCACAAAACTTTAGATATGTGTGTACATGATGTAAAATGTATTTCTTTCTTTCTTTCTTTTTTTTTTTTAAAGATGACCGGTAAGGGGATCTTAACACTTGACTTGGTGTTGTCAGCACCACGATCACCCAGTGAGCAAACCGGCCATCCCTATATGGGATCCGAACCCATGGCCTTGGTGTTATCAGCATCGCACTCTCCTGAGTGAGCCACAGGCTGGCCCTAAAATGTATTTCTTACTGTGAGTTGTGGTCAGTAAATATTCAGAAGCCATTTCTTAGTATATGCCTCTAATTTGGAGCCATACAGCTAGACAAGTAGCAGTTTTCCAGGAAGAGAACTCTATGGAAGAGGAGAAAAGAGGTGGATCTCTCCACAAAGGGGATCTAGAGGAAAGATGAAGGCCTTGAAGGGTGAACAAGCATTTGGTACAGACGCATGCAGTCACAGGGAAGTTATGAACTGCTGCTATTGACCATAACTCTCAATCACTTGAGAGCCAATCCACCAACATCTTACCTTGCAGCGTACCCACTAACCCAGTACTAACTCCCGAAATGATGTCACTAAGCAGCCATTCCTTGACTTGGTATTTGGGGATCCACTGCAAGATGGGCAAGAGACTTTTCAGCACGCCAACGGCTCTCTTTCTTGAACAACTGTCAAAAAGCAAGAAAACTGTGTTTCTGATCCAATCTTGGTCATAATCAATTGCAAATCACAAAGCTGTGAACTGAACTCTGCTATTTAGAAAAAGAATAAGAATTTCTTGGAAAATACTAACACTGAAGTGCTTACCATGCTTTTGCCAAGAACTGTATCTATCCTTTTAAATGCAGTATAGTAGAAAACTCACTCCTTCCTTTTAAATCCTCTGGGAGAATATCCCTACACAAAAACCCATTTTTTGGTTTAGCCAGAGACTGATCAATATTGAGTCTCTAAATGGAGATCAATTTTCAGACTTCTTCTTTTTTTTTTTTTTTTTTTTTTTTTTTTTTTTTTTTTTTTTTCTTTTTTTTTTTTTTTTTTTTTCCTTTTTGTCTTTTTTACTGACCAGTAATGGGATCGCAACCCTCGGTGTCACGCCCGTACCAGGGACTGGCAACGGGATCGCAACCCTTGGTGTTGCGCCCCGCACCGCACTCAACCAATGAGCGGGAACCGGTCTCCACATGGGATCCGAACCCTCGGCAGGAGCGCCGCCGCGCTCCCAAGCGGCACACTCTCCAGTGCGCCACCGGGCCGGCCCCAATTTTCAGACTTCTAACACAGGCACCTTATTATTATTTTCTTTAAAGAAATATAAACATGCTGCATATTTTGTCAATATAAGCTTGGAGCCAGTTTTTACAAAATTCTGACATGATGAGTATATACTTTATACCTTGCTGCTTACTATTTTTAAACTTTTACAACCTATAGATAAAAGAAAAAAATCAACAATAGGTGGACATTTACTCCTGATTCAAATAATTTTTTTAAATTGTGACATTTGGGCTGAGCCCGTGGCGCACTCGGGAGAGTGCGGAGCTGGGAGCTCAGCAGCCCTCCTGCCACGGGTTCGGATCCTATATAGGGATGACCGGTGGGTCTGGCTGAGCGTGGTGCGGCCGGTCTCAAAAAGGACAAAATAAATAAATAAATAAATAAATAAATAAAATAAAATTATGACATTTAAGAGACGATTGGAAATTTTAACAATAACTTAATTTTTTATATTAAGGAATTGTTTTCTGTGATAATGAAATGTGGTTATATGTTTTTAGAGTCCTTAGAGATAAATACATACTAAAATATATACTGACAAAAAGATACACTTATGGGATTTGCTTCAAAATAATACCGGAAGGAGGCAAATGGGTGGCAGTAGATGAAACGAGATCAACTTTGAGTTGATCATTGTTAAAGCTGGGTGATGAATAAAAACATGGGGTAGTAAAAACATTATACTACTATGTCTGCTTTTCTATATATTCAGTCTATAATAGAAGGTTTCAAAAAATAAAATCTGGCAATTAGTTGGCTGTCCTCTAAGTTCTTTATGTTTGTGATAGCTGATTGTGGGCGGCACATTTGGATTTAGAGACCGATGGCGGTTCTCCCTAGGGGTCTCAGTGTCTCAGAAGTGCTTAGAGCACACTGTGCTCTCCTGCATTCTCGCTTTCATTCCGGGTCTAACGGGACGGTTCCTACCTACACTGGCTTGAGAGTTTCAAGGAATTCCGGCAGGTGATGGGTCTACCCATCATCTTATTTATGTTTGTTCGTGTATTCATTTGGGCGGCTGGCCGGTATGGGGATCCTAACCCTTCATCCCTTTTAAACTAGCCCCTTCCTTCCCCCTTTCCTCAGCCTGGACGTCACAAGAAGGCAGTAGGGCCCGCTGTACCCCGAGGTGCACTCCACAGAAGGCTTCCTGAACCCACCGTCCCCAAGGCTTAATTTCCTAGACAAGTTAATTTGGGGCCGGAGACTGACGGTACCACCGTCCGACCAGGAAGGGCGGGTTGAGGACCGGAGACGCCTGGGAGTCGGGCCCTGGGAGAAGAAGCGGGCGTTCGGCCCGGCAGCCGGCATCCCGCGCTTGGCCGCAGGGCACGCGCTCCCGGCCCGGCGCCCCGGAGGCCCCGCTCCACTCCTCCCCAGGCGGGGCCCGCCCGGCCGCTACCTGCAGCCCTTGGCCAGTCTCTCCCGCAGCGTCTTGCGCTCCCGCAGGCGCCGCTCGTGCTGTTGCTGGAAGGCGAGCTCGCTGTAGACCGGCCGCGACACCACGTAGCTGCAGCTGTATTCGGAGAGCTGCGGAGGCTCCGATTTGCCGCCCGGAGCTGCCATGACCTGCGGGCCGGAGGACAACGAGGAGAGAGGAGATGCAGCGAGAGAGGACAATCGGAGGTGAAGAGCGAGGAACAGAAAGAGGTGCCACCTGTTAGCTGCCTCTCGGCCCCACCAGTTGCAGCCGACCCCGGCGAGCTCGGTCCGCGTCCTGCAGCCCTCGGCGCTCGAGACGCGCCGCCCCCCGGCACACACGGCCCGCCTGCAGGGGGACACCTGAGGACCTTCGGATCCCTTGGCCTGCACCTGCTGCTCGAGGCTCCCCGACTCCAAAGGAAGTGAGCTCGCTTTGGGGACTTCCGGAGCTCGACCCTGGCCCCTCGGGCGGGCAGCCAGGGCGCTGTCCGCGTCCTGAAATCTCCTAAACCAGGGCAGGGGCGGAGGCCCGGGGCGCGTGCGAGGCGGGAAGGGGACGGACACTGTGCGCGTCTCTCCCTCCCCGCACCCGACCCAGGGCGCAGCTCCAGGAGCGCACGGGGAGAGAAGCGCAGGCCCCGGGCCGGCCGAGGGACCGCAGGGCGCGTCCCCGGGACCCGAGGCTGCTTGTGCTGCAGGCGAATTCCAGCAGCGAGTCGCGGCTCTCCGGGGCGCAGAACTTTCGGCGAGGGGAGCAAGTCTCTTTCCCCGTCCTATATTCCTAGCCTCCTCCTCGCACTGTGCTTCTCAGGAAGAGGCTGTACTGCCCCCTGCCCGCCCGCCGCGTGCCCCTCACCAGTCCCGCTCCCAACCACGGGCGCCTCCCCGGCAGTGCAGCCCGGCTGCGGGGGCAGGGCTGCATCCAGCGGCGGACTCACCTGCCTCGGCTCGCGCCCCGCCCGGAATGCCCCGGGGAGGGCCGGGCCGCCGCCTTTATAGCGCTCGCTGGAGGCAGTAAGACGTTTTATTTATGGAGCAACAGAGACACCTTGGTCGAAAGGAAGGACACACAGGCTGAGGTCTTTCCCCACTGATCCTACCGGGAAAGAAATCCCACCCCTCCTACATTCTTTCCTTTTCCCGAACCGGAAAGGCTGAGAATCTCACTGGCTGCCCCGCAGGGAACACCCGGATTCCTCATTCACCCCCCAAGTACTTACGTGGGCTGCAAGGTTAGGGACGGGACAGCCCCTGCGGGACCAGGTACAGGGGAGCGGGCCGGGCGTGGGAGAGGAAGTCCGCGATGGCTGGGAGCGCCGGATTGACTCCGAGGTGGTGTGAATCCGAGACCCGGAGGAGAGGGGCAGTGACCGGTTCTCTATGTTAATAAGGCGCTGGGTTTCTAGAAAGTCTTTAGAAGTACTCAGTGCGTGATGGTTATAGAAAGTTTATAATTTACTCATAGATTTTAGATACATGTCTCTCTCTCTCTCTCTCTCTCTCTCTCTCTCTCTCTCTCTCTCTC